TCCATGGACTCTTCGTAAGGTCTGCACGATAGCTATCTCGTCGTGAGAATGCTTCACAGAGAGCTGTTGTAAAGAAGGTGATTTCGAAACCATCCCCCGCGTCCCGGTCAAGTGACAAGTCCTTTGCAGCGAGGTCCATGAGAGTGTTCGTGTGGCCAGATTTGAGCCATTCGTTGGTGAACCAACGACTCAGGTCTGTTATCGGGTCTTCGTCATTGAACCCAAGCGCCTTCCCACCCCAGCCAAGCCGTTCCAGCACACGAAGAGCCTCGTCAGCTCGGTATGTGATTGCATCATGTTCTCCCATATATTCACGGCGTCCTCGAAGCTTTGACACAGCACTCTTCCAGGCCTTCTTCGCCTTAACTGCTGGTTCGAGCTCAGCCCAGAGCGGGACGAGCCAAATGGGATAAAGGATGTCGGATTGGCTGATATGAAGGAGCCGGAGTGAAAGGAGGCTGGGGTTCTCTCGCATGTGTTTGACAAGCGAGTCAATAAGCGCCAGTGGTGGGAGGGGGATCGTGGAAGCGTCGAAGTCAGTGACCGTCGGAAGAGCCTCCGACAGGTACTGCGACGCGTCATTCTGTGCAGTAGAGCCGAGCTGCTTGGGCAGGGAGGTGTTGAGAAGCTGCAGAATGGGGAGAGTTGCTGGAGGGACAAGCTTATCGTGTTGCACTACTGGAATGCAACGCGTATCCGAGAGGGACGCCATTTCACGATTGTTGTCGAAGGAAAAAATGTTACGTGAAGGGTTTCCATATTAGGCATGCTGCGTCATTCTCGAGTACTAAGCTGACAGTAATGTTCTTCTCGACTACTTAAGACATCTTTGCTGCCTCCAAACATGTCTCAAGGCAAAATCCGCCAAAGTGAGGCAGTTTGGCAAAATCTTTGAAGATGTCACACAATTTTTGACTCATTGGCGAGACCTCCACTTCGGTTTTTTGGTCACAGGTCACACCCCGTAGCGAACTGAATATAATGGTACAGTACTGCTTGTCGGTAGCTGCCACTGTCGGGCACAGAAGGCCTGGGCAGTGTCGCAAGCAAGATCCCAGGGCGGCCGTTGGGAGGGTGTTGATGGATCGGTGATTGTGCGAGTGAGATGGAGGGCTGGACCGGAGTCGGAATCAGAATCGGAGGTATCTCCGAGGGGCCAAAAGGGAGGTTCCCCTGACAGCTGGTCAAATCAATGGCTGGCTGGCATCCCTACCTATGCCACAAGTTGGGCTCAGCATTAGGCCTGACATGTTTTGGACCCTATAGGCATACACTCAGATTAATCTATTATCTGATACAGAAATTGTCAATTAAACTTGATTAAGCAGGATGGTGTATAATACAAAAAGTGTGACAATATATAGTGGGAAATATTTCCCCAAAGTGACTACCATACACACCATAGCTGAAAATGATGCTTTTTGGTATCCTTTCAGATAGCACTAAAATTAGCACAGAAAACAATACTATTAGTTTATCTGACATCTGTACCAAAGGCAGTGGTTTCAGCAACAGCTCTATAGCAGCTGCTGAAAACACAATTTTCTGTATGTACTTCCTTTCAGTGCAGTTTATGTCCCATCTGAAATCAGTCCTTTTGGTGATTCTCATGCCAAAATGAATGATTTCAGCACAAACTTCAGTTTCAGCTGAAAACAAGGATTTTAGGATGCAACTGAAAATTATAATTTCAATATCAGGCCCTGCAGGGGACTTGATATTTTGGGACTATTAGTACAATTCTCAGTTGTGTACATAGAAAGCTTGAACTCGAATGTACTGTAATAATTTATTCAATTCGGTGTTGAAAAACCACATGACATTGGCACCGAAATTAAATTTTTGGCGCTGCCTAATAATTTGTGTGACCACCGAAAAAATTCAGCATATTTTGCGGCCCAGAGGGCCGCCGAAAATCTTTTGACACTCTGATGGTCATCTGACATTTGACATCTGAATCGCAAGTTGTGACAAACCGAAATATTTTGGCACTAGAGGTCTGGCGTGATATGTGACCACCGAATTGAATAAATTGATACAGTACGCTAAAATCAGTGATTTCAGCATGAGAATCAGCATCACCAAAAGGACCCATTTCAGAAAATGTAGAAATTGACCTGAAAATAGTGTATTGAGCATTACTTTTGCTATATACTGAAAGCTGTGTTTTAAGTGGCCACTAAAACTATTGCCGGAATCACTCCTTTCAGTGGAAAATTCTGAACAAACTGATAATATTCTTGTTAATTTCAATTTCAGAACTATCTGAAACCACAATGAAAGACATCATTTTCAGCTACACTGAAAGATACTATTTTATAGTGTGATAGGGACTTGTGCATGTCACGTCTCGGCCATCAAGAAGTAACGTCAGCGTTACTATGTAACAGAGTGACAGACAATTTTGCAAAGAACAACCACACATTTGTGGGCGCTCCTTACAACCTTTTGTTAGCGGTAGCGGGAAGAGCGGACGCGCGGTGATGCGCATCTCGCATGTGATTGCGGGACCGGCCGGAGCCCGGGTTAGGGCTGTGCCGGAGTGGCATATATATAGTGCGGTCCGCGTGCCTGTTGGGCACGCTTTTATCTCCCCTTCGTCTCCTTTGTACCCTCGGGTAGTGGTTAAGCTACTTGTCTGTGGAACCCGATCGGAGGCGTGCGGCCTGGTTAATAAGCGCCGATTTCTGACACCTTTCTTGCACTATTGTACAACACAATGTCAGCGGAGTCGACTTCTGAGCCGCCGCTTGCGTCTCCGCCACGATTCTACCCAATCCTCACTCTGCCCAACGAAATAACTGGCCATATCTTCCACCAATACCTCCCGGAATACCCCGCGGCTCCTCCTCCCACTGGCCTCGGCTCTCCGACGCTGCTGAGCCACGTCTGTCGCGATTGGCGGGCCCTCGCACTGTCGATGTGCACTCTGTGGCGCATGATACCGATAGACCAGGCCGCGCTGTGGCTCCCCGCGTGGTTAGAGCGTTCTGGTGAATGTTGAATTTCGGCTCAAGCTCCCCCTAAACTCGTGTGAAACGTCGTCTGGAAGCACATCATGCGCCAGCAAATGCGTGTTGAAGTCTTGAACTCTTCGGTCAGCGGTCCCCAACTCAAAGAAGGGACATTCTGGCCAGTGCTGCAGCACCTCGAGCTGTACATCTTCCCAGATGGCCCCGAGGACATAGGCACTCTCCGTATCGACGCGCTGCTCCTGCGTTCGGCGATCCTCTGGGGCTTCATGTATCCAGCACAGCTCCTTCCGTGGCACCAGTTGACGGTCATCGCGTTGATCTGTAAGGACCCACAGGGATGCACGCCAGTCCTCCAGCAAACGCCCAACCTCATTTATTGTGAACTGTATCTGAGGCTTATCGGGGTGCCGGAGGCTCAGGCCGTGCAACCCGATATCAGCCTGCCGCATCTACAACAGCTCATCATGACCGTCTACATGCTGCCATTTCATGGCGCGCCGTCCGTCAATTATCTCCGCTCTTTCGTTGTCCCATCTCTGCGACGCTTGACAGTGGACGAAGCGCTCCTCCGAGTCGGCTCCGGCAGCCGAGCAGATCAAATCAATGCCTTCGTCGACAAATCGGGATGCAAGCTCGATGAGCTTTGCATCATCGACCGCCAGTTAGGCGGCGCATCATTGGAACTCGAAGACGGCCCTTGGTCCGAATCGATCCGGCACGTTTCGCTGCATCGGGATCTTGCAAGTCATCAGTGGAGCAACCAGAAAAGCGCAGAGGACCCACGGAGGATTATCTATCGCCACTTGTCTTCCACTCAGGATCTTGGCTGACCTTTATACACTGGCATCTTGCTTGATCTTTCAAGTTCACTGCCCGACGTTCACCAGAAGCAAACCAGATCAGCGATTGCAAAGGTATTCATTTTGGTTCAGTTCAACGACAACAACAACATGATAGCTAGCGGGATAGATGGATGGATAGCGAGATGGATACTGGAAGACGATAGCAGGACGACAGCGGGGCAGCAGAGGAGTAAAATACATGTAAAGCTTTTTTTGTGTCAGAAATCAAGTTCAATGCGGGTTGCGCTTTTGGTTTTGGTGCCAGTTCAAAAGACGATCACCAACGTACCCTTCGGGTTGTATTCCGGTGCTCAACGACCTTGTCCACCGAGTCATCCTCATACTCCGACTCCGAGTCGATCTCGTCGTCGCTGTCCAGCTCTGAGTCTTCTGTACCGAACTGGGCTGCGTTGATCACATCGGGCTCCATTATCTTTACCAGGGTTAGTTATTCACTGGGCAAGAGGAAGATGATGCATGACACGGGGCTGCGCACATGCACGGCGCCACCCGTAGAGGGGGCAATTTGACAAATGTCTAGCTAAAGCTAGCAGAAAACTTGTCAAAAAAAGCCAGCTATAAGCAGGCTAGCAGTAGTTAGTAACACTTGACAAATGCTAGCACTTAATTTTGAAATAATGACTTAATTGAATATTGATATTAATAATATGACTAATAGGCACTATATATGGTACTTTTAACTCCTTTTCTTCAGGCCAATGTCCCGGTATATAATGAATAAGGCTAAAACCCAATTAGGACTAAAATGATGTAACTTGATGTAGTGATTGAAATCATTGATGGCAATCAAAAATCGTTCCACATGGATGACTTTGCCCCACGGACTTCAATTACATCATGATAAGCTACCTAATAAGGTCAATAGTAATTAAATAAAGTATTAAAAATATAGTCACAAAAGTGACACTTTCAGCCTCTGAGCAAAGCTACCAGATTTGACAAGTTGTTCACTAGCAATAGCTAGCTACACTTGTCAAAAAACCCCACCTACGGCTCACGGCGCACAGGGCTCGCCGAGCGGCCGCGCCCCCGCCGGCGCCGCTCCCGGACCGTCCACTCCTCGGGTCCGGCCAGCGGCGCCTCTCCAACAGTGCCCACGCCGACGATCTTGAAGCGGAACACCAGCGGCGCGACGCTATAATACACGTTGATCGGATCGTGCTCATATCCCCCCCGCTTTCGCAGGACGCGCACGAGCTTCTCCAGCATCACCTTTACGGTGGGACATTTCGCCTGGCCCCCGGGCACCGGAGCGAGCAGCCAGCCAGTGGTGCAGGACTGTCCGCCGAAGTCCCCGGGTAACTTCGGAGCGCCAGAGTCGCGAGATGCGCTGGGACGCGGGAACGAGCGGCGCGTCGTCCATCACCCAGCGCTCCTTGGCCGGGTGAGAGGGCCAGAGGGAACGAGGCGAGCACTTGATGGTGCAGAGCGCGGTGACCGGGGCGGTGCGCTGGGATGTGACACGTACGCGGAAGGCCTGCATATGTTGGAATGAATCAATAGAAAGAGATGACCAAGGCGAACCTTTCCGGCGGGGAGGTGGACGGTGACGGTCACGGACAAGTTCAGCTTCTTGTCCGTCTCCATGACCCTGAGCTTTTGCGGGCCGACGGGGATGACGTCGTCGTTTTCGTCGAGGAGGACGGCCTGCACGTGCCCGCCGATGTTCGCGTAGTGCATGTTGAAGATGGCCTTCGCTGAGTTGCCAGTGCGATTCCGAATCATGTTGGGGTATGTGCAGCCCCTCCCGAGGCCCCAGCACTTGAGATCCCCCAGCGCACAGCCCCCTCTATGCGAACACCCGCTTTGGGCGACGCTATCACCCGCCGCATTCAGCCGTGGGATTGACACTATTGTTGGGGGCGGGGGGCCGCGGGACTACCTCGACCCCAGGTATGCGAACACCTGCTTTGGGTGATGTTATCACCCCCCGCATTTAGCCGTGGAATCGACACCATCGCTGGGGGGGGGCCGCGGGACTGCCTTGAGGCGCGTCGTGTGATCGCTCTATACATGTCAGGCAGCCAATTTACCAGTGAAGGGGACGCGGTTGCCTTTTCGGGGCGCCTCCACGCAGGAAGCCTGAGGATGAGTATCGATTTCATTTTGGTGGGCGTGGGCACGGGGCGTTCAAGACTTCAAGTTGGCAGTCACGACTTGAAGATAATCGATTGAGGAGATGAAATCGCTGGGCATCGCGGTCGTCCGTAGTCGCTACAGGGGGGAGCAGGGTGGACAGTGATTGGGCAGGCCCACGTAAAATGAAAACGAAGCGCTGGCACAAAGCACAAAGCAGACAGTGACACGCTTCTCTTCCAGTCTTCTTCTTCTCCATCTTCTTGGATTATGGATATCCAATACCGCTACCTCGACTTCTTCAAGTTCGCCAGGGCCCGTGAGCGTCGCCGGCGCCGGATGCGGTTTAGCGCGCTGCCAGGGGACGCGCCAGCGGAAGCGGCGTCGCAACGTCGCACGTCACGGGCGCCGTCAAATAATATTTGTCGTGCAGGCTAGTACTTATCCGGCGCAGGAGGCGTCTGGAAGAGGCAGGTCTGCCTGAATGGGAAGGTGCAATTGGTGGGTGTAATTGGTGGGTGATGAGGGTGTGGTGGGCAATGGGTGATGAGGGTGCGGTGGGCAATGGGGGGAGTGGGCAGCGCTCGCGCGATTCCCTAAGACTAAGGCCGGAGGACGAAGGGCGGATGAGCAGAAGGGCTTGCTAAGAACGGGGCGCTAGAACACTGCGGAAAGCAAATTCCGCGGTCCGCCCTCAGGCTTGGCGGCGTTTCCTTTATGTATGGCGCGCCACACGCCTTGCACGACGAGACGAGACGAGACGCGTCGGGGCAAGAGGCGACACGCAGACGATCAATCAGCCATCAGAGCTTGCCAGTTTCAGCGCGGCGCGGCCGATGGCCGGCGGGTTTCACATGGGGTGGCGCATGCGTCGGGCACGTCGGGTCACGCCGGATCGGACCGCTCGGGTGCTTACGCATCGGAGGACCGCCTTGGCAGCACCGCACATGGTGGAACCAGCATTCGCGATGCCGACAAGACGACAAGTACAGGCCGTGGAGCACGTCACTCGGTGGTGCGCAGCTGAGCACTGGGCGGTGGAGCGGAGGCATTACTGGGCTGGGAGGGAGGGGGTGATTGGGCAGGGTCTGGTGCCACGCGACACGCGCCGCTAAGCGAGTGTTCGATCGCGATGGCGACGAGGCACAATTATTTCCCCACTGGGGGAGCGCAAGCAACAGTGGGGGATTGGGCGGGCGCAGGCGCGGGCGACGATGGGGGCTGTAGCGGCGGAGAAGCAGGCTGGGTGCGAGACGGCTGTCGGCGTGGGTGCCCGAGGTCGGAAGGTATTAACCTGGAAGAAGCATCGCACGATGCACGAGGACGACATCGTGGGAGACCGGCTTACGCGATGTGACGGTGACGGTGACGGTGACGCCCCAGCCAATCAAGTCGCACGCACGCGCCGGGTTGCCCTCAGCCACCTCCCACCACCACGACCACCTCTCCTCGCGTGCGCCCCCCGCCCCCGCCCGAGATGTCGACGCCGATTGCACTCCCGCCGACGCACCACAGCGAGGACTACCAGATGGGCTCGTACGGCGGGCCCGGCTCGAGCTTCAGCAGCAACAGGTATATGGGCTCCCCGATGTCTTGGCGCCCGGGCAGCTTTGGCGCGCAGTTCGTGCCCAGCCAGTCGCCCACCGCCATGCTCGTGGGCTCGTATGAGTGCGTTGTGTGCTGTTGGGTGTTATGTCGCTGACAATGGTGGTCTAGCTCCTCCCGCTCCCCCCAGACGAACGACTCGTCTATAGTGAACGCGTGGAATGTGTTTGATAGACAAGGGGAGCTGTGTCGCAACTACTCGTGTTGCGGGACAGACCTGCCCGACCTGCACGCTCTCCTCGAGCACTTTGAGGACGTGCATATCATCGTCAAAGACCGCACCCAGCCGCCCACAGTCCACATCCCCTTCAACCCCCAGGTCGACTCTTCCCCCCTGCCCCCAACAACCTACAACCCCGCTGACGAGATGGACCTCGGGCTCGACTACGCCTACGAGCAGGTCGACGACAGCTCCCCCCCGCCACTTTCCACCGCCCCCACCAGCCCCGGCACCTCCCGCGCCCCATCACCTACCCCATCACCCACCTCTGCCCAGCGCCCCGCGCTCAACATCGGCGTGGGCTTCCCGGGCATGCAGCCTTTGTCAGCATCATCTGCCCGCCCCTCGTACAATGCCGCATTCAACAGGTTTGGACCGGGGGGAGGAGAGGACACCGAGTCGGGTCCCACTGCGTCCGTCGCGCCCGGGCTCGTGTACGCGCCAGAGCCGGAGGACGAGCCCCAGCCCGTTGTCGTCGCATCCGGCACAGCCACATCATCGACTCATCAGACGACGGGTCCGATGAAGCAGAAGTCGTCTCGCAGCTCGTCGTCGAATCCGCCATCACGTGTCCCGACCCCGTCGTCGTCGTCGTCATCGATGGCAGCGGCGCTCGCTGCTGCGGCGGCGGATGTTGCGAGTGCGTCGATGTTGCTGCCGCATAAGCCGTTCCGGTGTCCAAAGCCACATTGCTCCAAGTCGTATAAGCAGGCGAATGGGCTGAAGTACCATATGACACATGGACAGTGCAGTTATGCGCCTGCGAAAGATGTGGAGGCGGTCAGGGCGTTGTTGGAGCGGAAGAGGGCGCAGGCGGCGCAAGCTTCTTCTGCGAATAACTCGGAGGACGATGTTTCGACACCATCAACGCCTGCTGCGACTCCGGCAACGACAACTTCTTCCAGCTCGCCCAAGTCGTCGTCCCAAGCGAATAGTACCGCCAACACGCCCACGCTGTCGCAGGCGGAGCTTAACGAGGTGGAAGCGCGGATGCGGCCCTATGCGTGTGGCGTCGGCGATTGTGCGCGGCGGTACAAGAACATGAATGGGTTGAGATATCATTATCAGCATACGGGCGACCATGGAGCGGTTGGGCTCAGTCTGCTGGCTGGCGGCTTGCATGGGTGTCTTGCGCTCAAGACCGGGACCGGGACCGGTGGGCCGGCGGCCTCGGTGAGCGCTCCGGCGACGCCGACTGTGGGGAATGGGAATGCAACGTCGTCGACGTATGCGTGGGGAAGCACGCTGTTGCCGCATATCCAGGCTGTCGCGTCTTCGTCGACTGCTGCTGCGGCCAAGACGAAACAACCAGCGTCGGGCTCGAGACCGGGGACTCCGGCGTCGTCGGCGGTTTCGGCCAAGCCGACGCCGGCCGCAGCTCCGCCGAATAAAAAACGGAAGGCGGGACCAGGGGCTGGGATGACGACGTTCGCGGTGAAGCCTGTGCAGCCGCCGCAGAGACAGGCGTACCCCCAGCAGCAACAACAACAGTGGTATGCGGGTGCGAATGGGCTTGATGTCAGTTTGGGGTGAGCCCGCCCTGCCGCTGCCGAAACACCGAAAAAAAATGCAAGATATTCTCTTGAACACGCAAGATAGAAGGCTACGTCTTGCCGTGCGTATATAAAAGTATTATATGTTCCCTCTCTCTTTCCGCGCTGCGTGTGCGTCTCTGTCATTGTTCTAATCCCCCCCACCCACTGCCTGTGTTCTTGTCCCCGTTTCGTACACTACCTCTCCTCCCGCTAGATATGCACCGACCGTGCCGATATGATAGATGTCGTAGTATTCACCCCGCGTACTTATTAGATATTCGCCCCCACTCCACTCTCCACTCTCCCTCCCTTTCCTATGCTCCATCCACTCGAGCGCCGATGACCGCTCCTTCCCCCCTCTTGTTTGTTGTCTGCAGCTGCCCGCGATGGGCGAGATGTTGCGTACGTATTACTGTAGTAGTTGCTTGTACTTGCCCGTGCTTGAACAGTGAACTGTGTGTCCCCGGCCTGCGCGTCGGGTCTTGATATCAGATAGCATGTGCATGTATGTATAAATAGCGCAGGGACGCTGCCAAGACAGTGACGGCGGGATACCCACCACCTCAGAATCGAATCGAATCGCGATCGGGAACGCATCGTGACAGGCGCGGGCTGCCCGTGTGGGCGTAGGCGATTAATATTTGAATGAATCACTGGGGTCACGCGATCGTGTAACGGCAACGCGCTTTGCTTCGTCCGTCATGAGCAGGAGCACCGTCGCAGGCCGGTTTCCCGCTGCAGCCGTGCCAGCGGTCCGTTAGTGGACACGCGTGGGTGCTAGTGGCAACGCGCGTTGCGGGTGCGGGTGCGGAAGCAGAACTTGCAATTGAAGGAGAAGGAAGAAAATTTTCTTGGTGGGCCGGCCCGGGGGCGGTAAGAGGATTCAAAGGGGAGATACTGTGGTCCCGACTGCCGCTGATGCTCATAGCCTATAGGTTAGGAGTCTTGACCTGACATACTGGGATGGCGATATCGAGTCATACTCATCGACCTCCGAAGCCTTGTCAATGACCGGTCCAACGCCGCCGATCTCCGTTCCTGCATTTTACTTCTGCGCTTTTTCCATGACAGGCGGGGGCTGACGCCTCGGAAACGCGACGACGAGCATCAAAACCGAGGACAGCCCCGCGCCCAATCACTCGTTGCCCACGGGAACGCGGGAAGGCATCAGCTCGTAAAGCGGGATTAATTGCCTCCCGGAAGCGGAAGGATGGCAGAGATAAAAAGCAGGAACGCTCGGGCGGAGTCCTCAGCAGTGCTCTCTCCCTTTCCCGCTTTTTTTCTCCCGCACACCTGTCTTTTTTTTTGTTTTCTTCTTCCCTCCCTGTTGACCAGGCTTTCTTTTCTCGACATGAAATTCACGACGAGCAACTCCCTCTTGACGGCCGCGACCGTGCTCCTGGCGTTCTCCGCCCGGGCATCTGCGCATGCAATCTCCATGTCCGTCTCACCACAGCGTCATCCTGGTTGCTTACCCACTTTTTTTTCCAGCCCTGCCCTCGGGATCCAGGGCACCGGCCAGCGGTCCGACGTGCAGCGGCCGAGCGCGGCGAGCCCGTGCGGCAAGGTCGACATCGCGAAGAACCTCGACAGCTCGCCCGCCACGGCCGCCGCGGCGGACGGCTCGGTCACGATCCAGATGAAGGCGTTCAACCCCGGCGCGGACGGCTCGCTGCAGGTCGCCGTCCAGGTCGACGCGGACGGCACCGGCAAGAACTTCGTCGCCGGGACGGTCACCAAGAACGGCAACCCTGTAAGTGTTTTTTCTTTCTTGTTCGTGTTGGGTGGGTTTGTGATGAGAGGGCTTTGTAGAAGCCCAAGGTCGGGGATGTGGACACGATCGTGTTCAAGCTGCCGGACGGCACGAAGTGCACGGGCGGCGCCAACAAGAACCGGTGTTTAGTGGTGAGTAATAAATATATACTTCAAGTAGTTTCGTCCACTCGATCGCTGACGCTTTGTAAAGTCTGTCAAATCCACACGCGGATTCGGGTCTTGCACCGTCGTCACGCAGGGCGGGGCCGGCGCCGGCAACGACGGCAACGGCAACGCCCCGCCTGCCGCCAGCGCAGCCACCATCAAGGACAAGAACGGCGCCACCAAGACCGCGACCGGGGCCAAGGCCACAAAGACCGGCGGCGCAAAGAAGCAGAACCAGAACGGCAACAAGAACAAGTTCCAGATCAAGAAAAAGGTGGACGACCTGTGCGCCGCGCAGAAGGCCAAGGAGCAGTTCAACGCGACGAAGAGCCGCACCGCCACCGCCGCCGCCCCCACCGAGACGCAGTTCCAGGTGAAGCAGAAGATCGACACGCTGTGCAAGGCGATGGCGGCGAAGGAGAAGGCCGCCGCGGCGAAGAAGAAGGGGAACAGAGGTCAGTCTTTGTTTTTTGTTTTGTGATGGGTTGTGTTTAGGTGCTGAATGATGGTGATAGCTGCGGTGGTCGCCCTCGCGCGGGCGGTTGCGAGGGAGGAGGAGATGCTTGACGATGTTGATGAGGACGACTTGGAAGTTGACGGCCACGAGGACGACGAAGAATAGAAGACCGGTGTGCTTATTTTTGTGTACTTTTATCTGAATAAGATCCTTGGAGATGCTGTCGGGACAACTCAGTCGCTGAGAGTGGTAAACTTTGAAACAACGCCATCTCAGCTGGATCATATGATTACTACATCGTACTTCAAGTTGGTATTTGAGCAGGAGTTATTTGTTGACAATGAGCTCCTTTTGTCTCTTTTACTTTCTTCAGCCCAATTCTCCAGCTTGAAGGCAGACAGAACATAATGCTGTAATACGTGGTAGCAAGGGGTCGGCTGAAATAATGAGTACTCTTCCTTGGGTGTGTGCATCAATGATGCATCATTACCTTGAGGAGGAGTATTGCAACTCAGAGTCTGATGAATCGCACGTTCATTTTGGCCGTCCCGCACAATTTAGGCTTGTTTAATGTAAATCAAGTGAAGCGAGAACAAATTTGGAGAATCTATAGAAAGTACCGTAAGTAACTTGAAATCTGCAGTCTTTTGCGAGCAGCTTACAGCATCAGTCAAGGCACTAGGAGTTCGAAGATAGGTGGCGGTAGATCATCCTCCGTGACACGTTTGCGCTGCGACCGTCGCTCCAGTCATGAGTTGCGAGACCCGGATCCAGCGAAACGTGCCGGATAGATTCGGACCAAGGGCCGGTCTTCCAATGATGGGCCGTCTTGCCGGCGGTCGATGATGCAAAGCTCATCGAGCTTGCATCCCGATTTGTCGACGAAGGCGTTGATTTGACCGGCTCGGCTGGAGCCCGGGCCAATGCGGAGGAGGGCTTCATCCACTTTCAAGCGTCGCAGAGCTGGGACAACGAAAGAGTGGAGATAATTATTGGACGGCGCGCCAACAAATGACACCGCGCCATAGACGGTCAAGATGAGCTGCTGTAGGTGCGGCAGGCTGATATCGGGTTGCGCAACTTGAACATCGGACACTGAGTTCAATGACAGTTCACAATAAACGAGATTGGGGGTTTGCTGAATGACCTGTGTGCATCGATGTGGGTCCTGGCCGATCAAGGCGATGAACATCAATTGGTGCCATGGAAGGAGCTGTGATGAGTATCGGAAGCTCCAGAGGATAGCTGAGCTCAGGAGTGGCGCATTGATACGAGGAGATGAGGCCATGTCTTCGGGACTATCCGCAAAAATGTGCAGCTCGAGGTGCCGGAGCACCGGCCAAGAGGTCTCGTCATCGAGCTGAAACTCGCTGACCGAACAGTTTAAGACTTCCAAACGCTTTTGCTGGCGCATGACGTCCACCCAGACGAATTCCCACACGAGCCCAGGAGGAGCTTGAACGGAGATTCGACATTCACCGGAACGCTCCAACCACGCGGGTATCCAATCCGACTTCCAGTCTATCGGTAGTGGTATCGCGCGCCACAAAGTACACATCGACAGTGCGAGGGCCCGCCAGTCTCGGCAGACGTGACTCAGCAGCGTCGGAGAGCCTATGCCAGTGGGAGGAGGAGCCGCAGGATATTCCGGGATGTATTGGTGGAAGATGTGGCCGGTTATTTCGTTGGGCAGAGTGAGGACTGGGTAGAATCGTGGCGGAGATGCAAGCGGCGGCTCGGGAGTCGACTCCACTGACATCATGATTGTGTACAAGAAAGTCGTAAGGAGCAGCCACGCGCTTCAAATGCGTCAATTCGAGCTTGTGGTTGTTCTTTGCAAAATTGTGTGTCACTCAAAATTGTGTGTCACTCTGTTACACATAACGCTGACGTACTTGTTGATGGCCAAGACATGACATGCACAAGTTGTCTCCGGCTCCCAGCCAAGCTCAGCTAACGCTAACGCACGAGTTACGTGCTCTACGGCCTGTCCTTGTCGTCTTCGAGCTATTGGCACCGCGAATAGACATTACGAAGGAGTCGAAGAAGCAGAAGAAGTTAGAACTTCAAGACAACTTCAAGAAGGCGAAGTAGGAAAAGAGTCGAACCAATGGTCCAAAAGCGCAACCCGCAACTTCAACTTGATGCACAAAAAAGCTTAACATGTATTTTACTCCTCTGCTGCCCCGCTGTCGTCCTGCTATCGTCTTCTAGTATCCATCTCGCTATCCATCCATCCATCCCGCTAGCTATCATGTTGTTGTTGTTGAACAGTAACTGAGCCGAGTTGAATACCTTTGCGATTGCCGATCTGGTTTGCTTCCAGTGGTGCTGAACGTCGGGCAGTGAAAAGATCAAGCCAAAATGCCAGTGTCTAGATGTGCGATACTCTGAGTGGAAGACAAGTAGCGATAGATAGTCCGCCGTGATTCGTCTGCGCTTTTATCCTCGTCCCAGTTATGGCTTGCGGGGTCCCGATCGACCGAGACGTGCCGGATGGAAGGGGACCACGGGCCGTCGGAGAGCGACGCGCCATTCTCGGGGCCGGGCCGCAGCCGGCGGTCAATGATGCAAAGCTCATCGAGCTTGCAACCCGATTTATCGACGAAAACATTGATTTGACCGGCTTGACTGGAGCCCGGGCCAACGCGGAGGAGGGCTTCGTCTACTGTCAGGCGTCGCAGAGCTGGGACAATGAAAGAGTGAAGATAATTGACGGACGGAATGTCGCCATATGGGTAGACGGCCAAGATGAGCCACTGGAGACGCGGCAAGCTGATATCGGCCTGGGGTCGCGCGACGCCTGGCACCTCTTCGAGGTCCAATGACAGTTCACAATAAACGAGATTGGGTGTCTGCTGGAGGACCAGCGAGCATTGATGTTGGTCCCGGAAGATCAAGGCGATGACCGTCAACTGGTGCCAAGGAAGGAGTTTCGATGAGTACTGGAAGCCCCAGAGGATAACGGAACGGAGGAGGGGCGCGTCGATATGCAGGGTGGTTACGTCCTCAGGCCGAGTTGGATCAATGTGCAGCTCGAGGTGTTGGAGCGCCGGCCAAAAGGTCCGTTCTTCAAGTTGGGAACCGCTGGCCGAAGAGTTCAAGTATTCCAAACGCTCTCGCTGACCCATAATGTGCTCCCAGGCCGAGTTGTGCACTTTGCCGGCAAGATGAGGGGCTTGAACCGAGAGTCGACATTCACCGGAGCGCTCCAGCCACTTGGGTATCCAACCGGATTCCCATTCGATTGGTATCGCTCGCCATAGAGTATGCATTGACAGTGCGATGGCCCGCCAGTCGCGGCAGACATGGCCCGCCAGTCGCGGCAGACATGGCTCAGCAGCGTCGGAGAGCCGTCGCCAGTGGGAGGAGGAGCTGTAGGATAATCCGGGATGTATTGGTGGAAGATGTGTCCGGTTATTTCGTTGGGCAGGGTGAGGATTGGGTAGAATCGTGGTGGAGACGCAACCAGCGTCTCCGGCGTTGATTTCATTGTTGCAAGAGAAGCCTGAGAGTATGGAGCGAACACGTGGGTATGCGTAGTTCGAATTCAACTTGAAGCTCTGAGTCGTTTGTTCAAAAGTCTGTGCACTCTGACCTCCGAGCTGATGATAGTTTGAGGCAAGCGTTTGGCAAGCACGTGGCATACCACGTCATCATTCATGTGGCACATACCGCCGACGCCGGCCGCCTCGGCGGATCCGCGATCGCGGGTTAAATTGCTTCCCTTGCGTTCCCACGGCCGGTCCACTCTCTTTCCCCAACCACCACTATCGCAAATAGTCCACGCGAGGATGAGCACACCCACACGGAAGATCGGCGGCGCAGACGTGTCCGAGATTGGATTTGGCGCGATGGGGATTGCGGCGTTCTACGGGGCGACCGAGCCGGATGAGGAGCGGTTCAAGGTGTGAATTTACCAATAACACGAAGTATGCTGACGTTTCATACTACAGGTGTTGGATGCGGCATATGAAGCGGGTTGTCGCCACTGGGACACTGCGCACATCTACAACGACAGCGAGGAATTACTCGGAAAATGGTGCCTTTCTTCCCTTATGTTTTCGCGATACTGATGAGGCCAAGGTTTAAGCGGACGGGGAAGCGGAGCGAGATCTTCCTGGCAACCAAATTTGGGATTCCGGCGGACGGCAGCGGGCCGCGCGGCGACCCCGCATTCGTCCGTGAGCAGTTCGCGACATCCATCCAGCGCCTCGGCGTCGATTATGTCGACTTGTATTACCAGCACCGGGTGGACCCGAAGACGCCGATTGAGGTCACAGTCGGCGCGATGGCCGAGCTCGTCAAGTGCCCCGTTGTTCTACATCACTTAAGCGTGCTAAATCGTCACAAGGGAGGGTAAAGTGAAGTATCTTGGGCTGTCGGAGTGCTCCGCGAAAGCGCTACGACGGGCACACGCCGTACACCCAATCTCGGCCCTGCAAATCGAGTATTCGCCGTTTGTGCTGGACATCGAGGACCCCAAGGTCGGCCTGCTGGCCACCGCACGTGAGCTCGGCGTCACCGTCGTCGCCTACTCGCCTCTCGGCCGCGGCCTCCTCACCGGCCGATACGTACGTGTTCCTTGCTTTCTGTGCATGATATACTCACTGTCGTCCAGAAATCGCCAGAAGACTTTGAACCGGGGGACTTCCGGCGCACGATCCCCAAGTGAGTTCTTTTCGTGTCGATGATGTCATCTGATTAGATTCTGATAAGATACTCGGCGGCAAACTTCCCCAAGATCCTCGAGGTCGTGGCGCGCCTGGAGAAGATCGGCGCGCGGCACGGCGCGACCGCGGGGCAGGTGACTCTCGCGTGGATCCTCGCGCAGGGCCCCGAGTTCGTGCTCATCCCCGGCACCAAGAGTATCAAGGTGAGTCCGAGTCAGAAGTCTGATTTTTTTCTGGTTTTACATGTCTGTTTGCTGGTCGCTGACCGATGGTGCAGTACTTGACAGAGAACATCGGCGCGTCGAAGGTGCAGCTGAGCGCCGAGGAGGTCGCAGAGGTACGTGCGATCGCGGAGGAGTGCGAGACGGCGATTCCCGGGACACGGTATGCGGGCCAGCGCATGGAGTGGCTGCTGCTGGATAGCCCGGAGCTGCAGAAGTGAAGTAAATACAAGACGAAGAAGTGGTGGCTACAGAACATGTACGAATATGACTCAACATACGAATATGACTCACCATGTGAAAATGACTCGGATACTCTGGATGATCGATTCAAGTTCCCGCCATCGATATGCGTGAAACGGGCTCCGGCATTCAGCAGCATGGCGCAGATGGAAGCGCGCGGGGCCCATATCAGTTGTATTCTTTGATCATAAGCTGCAACCCCGAGGTCACTCGATCGAAACGAGTTGCTGCTATAACTCGATCTCTCAGCTCTCCCTGACTACGTCATAGACTGTTACCCTTTTTTTTCGGCGACGTTCGAGCTTGAGGGTGTGCTGTCAATGCGCAGCAGTCTTGCTGCGAACATATACAGTTTGAGTGGCCGGTGAACGGCAGCACGTCCAGGTCGAACCGTGAAACGCGTACGACGAATCGACGTGATGATGATGACCAAGTTGTGACTCGTGACTCGTGACGCATGCATAAACAACCACCAACGGTCCTCCAAACACTGCTACGCCGACTCACTGGCACAGGGTAACTGGAATGGTTGATGTAAACTTCTCAGACAAGTCGAACTTGTACGCATACGCCACAATGCCATACTTCGCTCGCGCGAAACCGGTCTAATGTGTATCATAGCCCATTTCACCTCTCAAAGAGAGTCGCTGATCAAGGCCGAAATCTGCATATCTTCTCTTTCAGGCCAGACGATTGCTTCACTGGCAAGGATAGGCGCTTGCTCGTGAGGGTGGTCGGAGGTAAGGATATTCCCGATTTTTCCAAGTTGTTCAAGTTGTCACTCAATCTCACGCTACAGGCTTCAATCTCAAACGGACTCCGCTCACTGCGGCCACTTTCTATCGTTGGCTCGGACTTCCAGGGTGTGACCCCCTCAACCGCAGACCACTCCAAGCCAAGGTGCTTCTGCGTCCCATCGAACTCGAAACAGCTGATGTTTTTTGTTATGCTCTTCGACGCGTAACAGGGCCGGCAATTCCTCGCGAATCTTCTAGCCTGCTTCAACCAGGTACATACGGCCTTTTTTCTTCTGGTGCGCGTCAAGATTTGTCCAAATTTCGTGTGCTCATTTACTGGCATCTTGTGCTGTGAAGACAGAGTCAGACCGTTGGGGCCAGTGGTGGGGAGTGAAACACTTCGTGCGGATTCGTTTCGCAAGCAACTCGAAGAGCCAATGCTCTTTGACGTCTTCGGAAACCAGGCACGTCTCCATCAGCACTTATGCCGGGTGCCAGTGCCTTGTTACCTCATGACAGAATATTATCCCTGACTCCCTGGCGACACTGGCGCACAAACGCGATCAGGGATGCTGCTGTATCACTGGTCGAACAGAGTCAACCATACTTGCGTGGATTTGTCCACCTTTAGCGTCATGGAATCTCGATCCGGTACGGTTCACAATGTCTTTTCAGGAAGCCGCAAGCAGCTGATAAGTGGGCTTTCTAGTATAATACAGGGAATTTTGATCGATACGAAGTCCTCGACAATATCATTACAATTAGCTCAACACTGGCCGACTTAGTTGAATGCAACTTGATTAGTGTGGATTTCGAGGTTCCTTGTTTCCGAGTCACCATTTGTACTAACGCGTGCTGACCTGTTGGTTCCAGGATGATGCACGTATTATCGTTTTTGGTGATCTCCCCGGGCCGGCTAGCATCTCCGAGTCGGTGATATTGTCTCCCGATTCCTGTCTTTGGCGTCCCAATGCTTCGGCCGCAACATTTTGGGGTATGCATTTTGACCAAACCCTGAGCATATACTTTCCTGCAGGCAATCCACTCGACGACTACTAGTACTCCCCTGCCAAAGGCTACAGCGTCAAGAAGTGGAAGGAGGAGCTACGAGATAACCCCGATCTGCGTGACCCAAAATGGAGGTCTGAATTTGGAAAGGAGGTAATGCAAGTGTACATTTGGCAGAACTTGGCCGAGGATGGGAGTGAGTCTGAGTGACCAAGCGGTCGATGGACGGGGAACTGGGCACTGGCGACAACGGAGAATAAAATAGGTATACGGGTATCTCGTACTTACTAGTAGTGTTGCTGCATATACAGTGTAACCTCTACTGTTCGGATGGCTGAATCGCAATCACTCACGCCTAAGAACTGCCGTCAGTTGTCTCATCGATGAATTCCGATCGTAGACATGCTGTAGTTGAGGACGTTCCACTGACAGAGCTTTTTCCCTTTACTTTATGGATGTAGAGTAGGTGCGCAGGAACACGCCCTGGCGATATAGTCCCAGGAAGTGGCCATTGCCATGAGACGAGAGTAAGTCTTGAGTAGCGCAGTTAGCACAAGGCGGACGGCTTTTGAAGCACCCCTGGTCGTAAGGAATTGGAAAATTTGTTGGAAAGACAAGTTGCGGTTCTTCCTCTAGACACAGGCCCATCTGCTCAGGTTGAATGGAAAGGCAAATTCTGTGTGATATACCACTAGCATTCACCATACATTCCAGACAACTTGACGATTTATCACTGTTTAGGTCGTCGTCAGAGCTATGAGACATTGAGCCGTTTGCCGGCGAAGGACTTGGCATCCGTGAGTATGTATTTCGAGTGCGAAGGACGACCCAGCAGACAAGTGTATGGTTGTGCCGCAGTCTCAACCTGGAGAGGCGGTGGTACTGCGAGTCGAGTTGCAGTGTTACATAAGCCAGAAACCCATTTCTTGACCTTCATAATGCTCAATCATCCTGCCCGTCTGGCATCGCTCAATGTCGAATGCACTTACTATCATAGCCTCCTTCAGCTTGGATCATGTTTTCTCAGATGATCATGCAGGTTTTTCGGAGGAGAGATTCAAGGCGGGCCGCTGGTATCATCCTGGTGTCCAATGGCGTCAGTCAAGTCGTGGTCTATTCTGGTGCGTTGTCTGCTTGTCAGTATCCAGAGTAGCTCCTCAAAGCTTTCAAGCATGCAGCTAAAGCAGCCCCTCGTCGCGAGCACAATCTTTTCCACCCATCTTGTATCCGCGCTCTTCGAAAGGACCTACCGGTCTTCTCCACTGGCCATTCAACCGCTGAGCATGCTCTTCCGCGCTGCCTCGTACGATCCAGACAACACAACTGTCTTCCTCGTCTGCCCCACCGGTTCTGCAGTCGCACATCCCGGCCCGGTAATATACGACAGCGCGGGCGAGCTAGTCTGGGCAGACCTCTCCATTGGCGCGTGTTTTGACCTCGACTTGCAAACATATCGTGGCGCGCGGGTGCTCACTTTCTGGGTCGGGAATGGGAATGCGGGAATCGGCAAGCAGACTGGGAACGGGACAGGGAAGATATTCGATGAGCAGTATGAATGGGTGGTGAATGTGTCGGCAGAGAACGGGGGCGTTTGCATTGTCATGAGCTTTGCATTGTGCGGCCAGAGAATAAGACGTCACCAGCGTATAATCCAGTCCCGGTATTCTTCTACTTTGCACTGAGGGAAGGTGCGGACTCGTCAATAGGCGGATCTTTTAGAGGTCGGTGGGCCAAGGGAAGGATGGTACCTGAACGCTCTTGTACAAGAAATCGATAATCCAACAAGAAAGTGGTCTTCAATTGGACTTCATACGACCACATTGAACTCAGCGAGTCGTACAACAACATTTCGCAAGCTGGCGATGGACTGTCTCCCCAATAAGGACTCTTTTGGCAACTATCTCATCTCTGCGCGACATACCAAGACGCTCTACTACTTATATCCATGGAAGCGACGGCCATATTATCTGGCGACTCGGCGGGAAGAACAGCTCTTTCCCACTCATCGGAAACGACACGGAGAACCATCGCTTCCATTGGCAACATGATGCAAGATGGCGTGGTCCTGATATCCTCTCGTTATTCGACAACGGAGCAGCCATTTTGAGAGTGGGGAATACGAGCACGTATGTGGTCGATGGGCCTGCATCGGGGAAGTCTTTCCAGCTGGATTTGGAAAAGAAGACGGTCGAACTTGTCAAGCAATTCTTGCCTTCACCTTGTGTGTGTGTTCTATATGCTGTTCTCTCCCGCTAAAATTGAGTGTGATACAGACACTGGCCCCAGCTTCTACCCAGATGTATGACTCCGAAGTCGTTATTGGCTATGGCAGTCGACCCTGGCAGACAGTCCACGATGTAACAACGCAACAGTTGCTCTTCTCCGCCGTCATTGGCCCTCACGATCCAGCGCAATGGCTTGGCGGGATCGCCAACTACCGCGTCCATCAAACAAATACACGAGAATTTGTCGGCCGACCACGCACAAAACCTTCGGTCGTTATCGACAACGATGAGGGTGAGATTTTGGTGTATGTTTCATGGAATCGCGTGACGCAGGTGGCATGGTATGAGCTGCGGACGGGACATTCAGAAGGGGCTATGGAGAATGTGCTGAGGACAGTGAAGAAAAGCGGGTTTGAAACTGTGATTAGCGGGGAGGGGAGCAAGGAATACGTCCAGGTCGTGGCGCTCGCGAATGATCGAAAAGTTCTTGGGTCCAGCGACATTGTGCAGATCAAGTTGACCCTGGAATTTGTGGCCCAGACATTCGGAGGGTAGCAACATATTTGGAAGCCATTCGATTGCATGCTTGTTGATTACACTCAAGTGCTTGTTCGTTCACGCCACACGACTCTTCTGCTTTCACCGACTACCAACGGGTAAACGGATATTATGGCTTGTGGGAAGCGAATTATCGGGTAAGTGTGACTCGACCGCTAAACAACTTGTTCACCTTCAACGATGTCGTTTGACTCCTCGCGCTCGTATTGTTCTTATCTTATAAGACACTGAATATCGATACTGAGCTCTCTAATAGCTTTCTCATGTCTCAAAGAGCTGCAGACCAACGGCGAAATATGCATGTCTTCTCATTTCATTTTTTTCCGCAAGTCAGGCTGGCCGGAGGTGAGGACTCATGCTATCATTCCTGATTGGCTTCGGTCTCAAGAGCTTTATTCAGGTCTCAATCTGAACCGAATTCATCTCACCGCAAAGACTTTCTACCGATGGCTTTGTCTTTGCCACACCTTGGTTACCGGAGAAGATCTCGAAGCAGCGGTCGTACTACGGAAGATACAACTAGCCACCGTGGATGTGTCGTTCTACTCCCTTGCAGCGATACAAGGCCCCCCTATTCCACGCGATTCTCTTCAACTCATTCAACCCGGTATTTATGGAATTTTTTCTCAAGGTGGGTGGTGTTCCGTTGACACATGGTTTTCGGACAAGGCTGAGATGGGTTGCGCAGACGGAACACCATTCACGAGTTATGTCTCCAGCGCAGTAAGCTTTCGGACGTCATTCAAAGCTCAAGAAGATGAGATGGTGAGAAGCACCAAATCGCCTGAGTTTCGAGCGCATGTTCGTAAATGTTCCCCTTTTGCGCTCCTGACTGAAATATCAGTCCAGAATCAGATCCCGATGCACTTGAGGACCCTGGCTGGTGCCCGGGACAGAGGGAAATGCTTCATTACAGGCCAAACTCATCTCCCAACGCAATGTGTTTGGATTATCCCCCCTCTTGCAACGTTCAATGGTGGCTTGGTAGATCTTCGCATTTACATACCCCCCTCATTGTGATGATATTTATGCTTAGTTTGATCCCATGGACCTCGACAAGTCCAAGGTTGTCGACAATCTGATTACGATTTGCTCCGTTTTGGTCGATCCCTTCATGCACAACTTGTTTTCCGTTGACCTCGAGGTAGTCGTCATCGTACTGCACAGTTGCCCTCGCTGACCTAGCCTAGGACAATGCCCGTATCATCGTCTTTGATGACCTTCCGAGCGGAGTGCCAACGTTGCCCTTGCGTTTACCGACCCTGCCTTCACCTGCATCGACGGACTTTTGGAAGTCCAGTTTCATAGTTACTTTAGGTAACTTTTTCCCCGCGGGTGAGCTAGATGAGGATGGTAGCCGCCGCACACGAAGCGGCAATGCGGGCCTGTTGATGGAGGAGCTGCATGACGACTGCGCTGATTTGGACGACCCGAAGTGGCAAAGTGACGTTGGGACGGAAGTGGTGCAGGTCTACATGAACTTGAACTTACCGTCGAGGAGGGAGCTTCTGGAAGAACAAGCAGGAGACTATGGCTCGGAAGATGAGTTCGTGTTGTCTGATGATGAATGAGGACAATTATGACGCGGACCGATACTAGTCTTAGTATGAAGGTGAAGTACTAGTGCTGCTGGGCCAGTGCCTTGTACTAGTCTTAACTTCGTTTTGGGTAGACTTGGATTGGCGTTGGGCCGCTGTCAAGTCGAGCGCAGTTCTATGCAAGCAAGAATACGTAAAATCTAGCGAAACGGAACGTACGCGCAGCAAGTGATCATGACCCTCGCGCCAACGAGAAGCTGGGGAAAGCTGTAAGGTAATGACGACTCGGATATCCGTCGGATCAGGCCATCACGTGCATGGCTGCGGGCTTCACTCGCTCCGCAATGTACGCCGTATGTATGCAAAACGCGACATGCGTGGTGTGGGACACTTTTCAAGTTAAAAACACACTGATACCTGCGGCACCAGTTTCCTTCCTCTCGTCAACTGCGCGCTTGTTTCTGACGCGGCTCCACTGTCGTCATGTCTTCCTCTATACCACTCGCCATGCCCCAGCCACGACCACAACCTCCGCCTGCCGCATATCTCAATCCCAGTGCGAACCATGATGGAGAATACCCAGAAGATGATAGCCCTGCACCCTCATATTCCCTCACGCCCACCAACATGAACTCGAAAACATGGCCGGACAGTGCGAACACGGTCGAGGCTGCCCGCTCGATCACACGAACTCCGAGCCCAACGCCGAGTGAGGTGGACCTCCTGAATGGTATTACACCGAAGAAGGAGAGGTCGACGGCCCAGGTTATACGTGCGTCTTTTTGTACTTTTCTCTCTCTCTCTCTCTGATTGAATAGTATTTAGGGCGACTGCTCATTATTGCTATTATCGTCGTCGCAATCGTACTCATAGAGGTCTATCACGACAAGATTATAGACGGGCTGAAGCCAGTGACCCGATGGCTGCATGGGTGCGCCACGTCTCGACCCTTACTTTCTAATTTCTGACGAAATTAAAGTTTGAGGGGAGGCTGGGTGATACCAATCATTGTCCTCATCGCCCTATCATTTCCCCCAGTACGTGCTCTGCTTGATATAATCCCGCCTTGCACCTGATGAATGGGCTAGCTATTCGGACACGAAGTTGTTGCGATGTTATGTGGTCTTGTGTGGGGCCTTGGCGCGGGCTTCGGGATCGTGGCTGCGGGCACTATTCTGGGCGAAATACTCACATACTAGTATGTCCAGCATCCCTCCCGTTATATTCACTGATTCCCCGCCTTCATTAGCGTATTCCGTTATTTGTGTAGCGCCCGCGCGTCCAAACTCGAGCTCACGAATCTGCAATATGGTCTGCTTGCGCATACTATTCGCAGAGGCGGGATTTGGGTTGCCATTGTAGCGCGTTATAGTGCGTTACCTGGACATTGTGCATTTGATTCCTCGTAAAAATATCTTGGTTGGCTAATTTATCTGGGCTTTAGTAACGACCGCCGTCTTTGCAACCTGCGGAATGGGATTCTGGGTCTTCCTTGTTGCTGCTGTTGTTTCGCTCCCGAAGCAGCTTGCCATCGTCTATGTCGGGTTCGCGCTCGGTCAAAATGGTGCGCCTCATATTCGACCGTTGATATAAACTCACTCTTTGTAGAGGACAAGAAGAGCAACACAATCCAAAAGGTCGTCATCGCGGTGACGGTGGTGGTAACCGTTATTGCGATGCTGTATATTCGCAGGCTGATGGGCCAAGCGCGTCCCGAGTTGGTTTACGCGCGGAGGAAGGCGAGGCAGGCGAAGCTGCAAGGAGAAGTAGAGACTGAAGCCCATGATCACCCAACTGTCTGAAGTTCCTTTGGGTTAAATATTCGATGGAGAACACATTGTATCTTATGAATTTTGCAGACCTAAATCACCTAATACCATCCAATTGAAGGAGTCGTTTCATCGACCGTGGCGGATCACGACGCGATCAGTCACGGACTCACGCCGCACCACAGCCTCAGTGCAGATCCTTGTACGCAATAAAATAAAAACCTGACTCGCGACGATGCGGCTCCGTTTCCACCCCCGCAACTCATGCCCAAACGTCCTGCAACCTCAGAGCCCGGTCCCCCAGCAAAGGTGTGTCCGTTTCGTATGCCTTTACATGCAAAGACTGAGACTTGTTCGAGCTGGCCGTCGTAGCCCCTGACTTTGTCCTCAACGTCGACGACGGAGAGACGGTCTACCAGCACTGTCTTCTTCTTTCTGGGAAGTGCAATAACCTGGGCAGCGGGGAGGAGGACTTTGTGTCCGTGCATGTTACGGACAGCTTTGGCCGCCAAACGGGCCAGAGCTGGCCGGCGGTCGCGGGGCGGTGGAAGGCGCTTGCGATGCTCGCTCCCGGCAGCAACACGGTGGAGCTGACGCTGCACCATGCCGGTGCGGTCTCTCCTGCGCACTCTGTCAAGCTGGTCTACCAACCCCTCCTCCAACTCCCCCCGCTTCATCTCGCCATCATGGTCGCGAAAGACTCCCCCCTGCTCATCGACTGCCCCCCGGCCAAGTACGGCGCGATTTCCACCGCCCACAGCACGCTCGAGGCGGCGGTTGCCAAGTTCCGGATGACGGCCTATATGTGGCAAGCACAAACGGCTGAAGATTTCCGTCTGAAAGGGCTCGGCCGAAGGTCGTTCCGCCTGGACGAAGAATGGGCGCGCGACACAACATCCCGCGCTGGCTTCCAGAGCGACCCCGCTGCCCGGCAACCCACCGGCGCGGTCCCGAAAATCCACGTGATCCGCTCCGAGAAGACCGTCGCCCAGCTCCGGGATGCAGATGTCGCGCAGCAGAACCAACATGGCCAGCGCAGAGACGATTTGCACAAGTACTTTGAAGACGCTCTGCGTAGCCACGGGTCGCCGTTCAACTCTGCCGAGCGACCTGTTGTCGCTGGCCTCATTCTCGATGCACATTACTCGATCGAGCAAGATCTTATTCTGGGTCATGCAGCATTGGGATGCCATAAGCCGAATGGAGTGTCTTTGGGTGTGTTTGGGAGCCATCTCACGTATTCCTGGCCGCGGTTTTTAGAGGAAGTCCCTGCGTATCTGCTCGACAGGACCCCCACGGGAGATACAGTCGGCAACGACAACGGGGAGTGCAGCACGATGAGAGAGGCCTGCTGGGTTGGACAAGGCGCGTTCTTGCACGAGGTCGGCCATGCGTTCAGCGCGGATCACACGAGCGGGATCATGGCCCGCGGCTACTCCCGCCATTGGGCACGTAATTTCATCGCCCATGAAGAGACGGCGAACGACGCGGTCTGGGATCTCCAGGATGCGCTCAAGTTTCGCGTCTTGGAGCACTTCCTCATGCCCGGCGACCCCGTCCTGAGTCATGAAGATCGACAAGCAGCGGCGGACATCACGTGCGAGCTGGCAAAGGACGACGAGCCCGTTTTACAACTCACTTGCAAGGCCGGCATCGCGCAGATTCAGGTTACCACCCCCGAGAAGACACGGGTTGTTTACCAGTCCCCGGCGCTTGCCAACACGAGTCTTGCTGCTAGTATCCAGGAGACCATCGCAAATGCGACATGCGAGGACGGGAAGACTTTCGCCGTCTCTTTCACCGACCTAGAGAAGCAGTTCGACCGGACGAAGCCGCTGTCGATGTCGATCCTGGGCCTAAACGGCAAGAAGCGGGTCTGCGACGAGGTCTGGAAGATGCTCGCTGAGCTGCCGTTCATCCGCGTGCCGGGCACCTCGGTCGTCCTCCGGAAGACGTCTGTCAAGTCGGGCTGGGACACAAGCGAGCGGTTCTGGCACTGGGCTATGCTGCTGCAGCGAAAACGCGCCGACGGGTCGCTCGCGCGGGCAACTGCGATTGATCTGCGGGTCGGGGCGATCATGGACGGCGCGGTTGTGTGCTACGAGGACGGGACGGAGGTCAACTGCGGGCCGGTGACGGGCTACGGCGGCGGCCGGCACACTTTCGGCGGGCACGCGTCCGAAAAGGGCGACATTCCGGCCGACGCGGGCATCGCCAAGGTCGAGGTCAACGGCGGCGGAGACCATGGCTGGGGGTGTCTTGCGGGCATCCGGATCACGCTCGACAACGGCGCCAGTTGGGGCGAGCTTAATGGTGAGGCCACGGCCACTTTGCAGCCAAAGGACGACGAGCGGGTCGTGGGGCTGTTTGGGAGGAGCCAGCTTGGGTCGGGGTACACATATGAGTTTGGGATTATTACAGTGAAGAAGGGCGGGACGCTGCCAGAGGGGGTGTATGATATGCCGGAGCTGCAGAATGTCGAGGGAGACAATGCTGGTGTGGAAATGGATGATGAGTCGGGGAATGATTCAGAGGAGGAGTAGGATAGGGAGGAGGAGGAGTGAATCTTACCCTAAGCCTAGGCTGCGTTTGTAGCTAATAGAAGAACTAATTTAGATTGGAGGCTTGATCATCCATTTTAACTTATGTTGATGTGCACCCGCCTACTTGAATCGTTTTGGACTGCTTGTCGTTCAAATTCAATTTTGCTTTATGTCTATGTCTATGTCTATCTCAGCACTTGGAGTTAGTAGTCTACGGGGAACACCACGCGGCTCGGCGGGGTCCACCGATAATTAAACCGCTTCCGCAGTCGCACGACCTCGTCGCCAATAGCCCTGTCGATTCCCTCGCCCGTCTTCCAGCGCTCGTCGCTGAAGTCACCGTCCTCCGCCAGCTCCATCATCAGCTCATCAATTATCGTCTCCGAGTAGTCGCCTCTGATGTCTCCGCCCTCGAAGTGCACCCGCAGCGTCCACATAAAATGGTGACGCAGGAACTCAGCGGCGAGCGCGTGGGCGGTTGCCGGGGTGCATACCGTGTTGGACTGGACAAGCGAAATAAGCTGCGCGTTGACTTCGGGATCAGGAGACAAGTCGGCAAACACCACGGTCCTATGGACTTGGTTCTCCTAGGCGAGAAGTTTAGCGGCTTCTTGCCGGGGGCAGTCAACCAATGGCTGTATGCCAGTGCACTCACATCGTAATCGACGCTGAGCGCGTTCCTGCGGAACGCGTCGACCAGCTCAGACGAGATTGTGATAACATTGTCGACAGACTGGGGGTCGTTATGAATGATGAGGCTCAAAGAATGAAAGCACATGCCTCTCCAGTGACCCCGTTGGCAGGGATGACGATAACCTGCACGGTAAGAACATCCGTTCGGCCAGTAAAGAAGCATCGGTTGTTGTCGCGTTGCTTAACCTGCTCTGCAATGGGAGCAGAAATGTGCATCTTCAAGTGTGTTGAATAAGACTGCCCGCGAAACAAGAAAAATGTCGGGGGGACGCACATATTCTGTGGCAAGAGCCTCGATCTGTTCTCGGGAGAGTTTTCCATACTTATTCTCCAGAATATCTTGCAAAGACCTGACTATATCCGGCTTGCCAGTGGCCTCAAGCCAGTACACCTTGTCCGAGCCTGAGGGTAAAATGAGACCTCGTGTGCGCCGTCAATGAAGATACCGTTACCAGGATAGAATGCGGCATATACGCCTGGGGGCATCACACCCTCGGCGTCGCGTGCGATGGCCGGCCCAAGGGCCGCGCGGTCGTTCAAGCCGTAATGGATGGGGTAGCGCTCTTCCACTTGGAACACTCGCAGCACGAAATCGTACGCCTCGTCGGGATAAGCGCTTCCAGCCACGATCAAGTCCAACCAGCGATAAAATGTCCGGATTGTCATTCCCGGGTGTTGATCGAGGTTCCAGCCTGCGCAAAAAGATGTTAGTCCATGCACCAGCACCGTGGCGGTGGAAAGGCGCACCCCCAAACATGAAAATGCTGTAGTTATCTGGATCGACGGAAAAGAGGAACATATTTCGCCGGTCGGTCGTCGACTTCTTCGACAGCTTGAACTCGTAGCTACCCACTTGTTTAAATGGCAACATATGAGCACAATTGAAAAGCCTACTTCTCACTGGCATGCTGAGACATCACGCTGCAGAAGGGCCGTTTGGAGCTGGGAGTGAAGATTATAGGAACGACGAAGCTGCTTCTAACAAGTTTTTAAGTCAGCGGTGTGTGTGCTCGTGGCGACGTGGCCAGCCTGTGGGAGTTTTCAATCAAATAATAGTGACGTGTTTCGATCATCTAAATTATTATTCGTGGCCACACGGTGACTCGGACACTTGAATGAGTGAAACGGCAGCAAACTTGAAGGACTCTGACTAAGATGCACAAAATTAGTTTTAGCACTACTGGCAGCCTGGCACTAGCAGGCACCAGTGATTTGGCCTGCCAGTGGATATATTCGAAGAGTCAAGAAGCATTCAAACTCAACTTAGAGTCTAGACCGTGATGGCGGACTCGGAGTTGTTAGTACCGAATAATGGCCACAAATTAATCACTGTGGCCACCATTAGTAACTGTGACAGGTGGCCATTAGTAACTGTGACAGGTGGCCACACGAGACTCAAGAGGAGTATTTAAGTCATGGCCTGAGGGCAAGTGCGACATACTAATCAAGAACTCCTCGATCAAGCTTAAACCAACTTGAAGTTGTCATTATAGCCTGAGAGCCTCAGGTAATACACCCCCACACTGGTGAGTTTAAATGAATTCCAACTCTGAGTCAACACATTAATAAGAATGTTAACTTAGACACAAGCTAGAATCAAGCAACATTCTAGGGCCACCAAGTTAAAGGGTCTCTCACTGGCATTGTGACTTGTGAAAGCTTTACTGCCACACAATCATGCCCAACTTGAAAGCCTCGTCTTATAGCAGGAATTATATAAATGCAGATCAACGGGATGTGCATATATGGGCATCTGACTGTTTTAAACCTATTAGGCCCACCAATAATAGCCCCCCCACATCAAAGACAGCTCCAAGTCCAACACCTCAACAGACAGTTGACAATGCTATTAGTGGGGTTTACCAAACTCGTTCCACTGCTGTTCATGCAATGCCATTGGTTGAGAAAGACTTGCTGATTGTTGGAGGCAAGTGATATTACATTCCACTTGCAAATCCAAAGCTAGGCTAACTTGTATTGCTATAGGTTGCTATTCATTCCTGTCTGAATGGAAAGCTCAGAAAAATCAACCTAAGGATTTGGCAACCACCTATCTAACTGGGAAGGAACTATACTTGTATCTTGATGAAATGATCGGTGCTGTCAAATTAAATTCTCAGCTTGCCAGTGAGAAAGCAGGTTAGTTCTATGGTTCTGATTTTTTGATATTTCATAACATATGTTTATATAGAAGGCTATATTTTGGTAAAAAGCAAGACAGAATTATTTGACCTTGATTGGTCAGATGCACAGTTTTCTAGTTTCCGGTCCATTTTGAAGAAAATAATAGAGCAGAGGATCTCAAATCTGGATATTGTTAAATCAGACAATAGTCCTGTGGAACCAGGCCATTATATTATTTTCCAGAAGACCTACAACTATGCAAACACTCTTATACTCAAGGGCTGGCGTCCAGTTTGCGAAGAGACTATTATTGTCTCTATGACACAGGGAGATGGCCAATCAACGCGTGTAAGTCAATAAAATCATTTCCATTGATAAAATCACTGATAGGCCTGACAATATCAGAGTGATGAACTGCCAAGTGATGTTCGTGATCGAGATATGATGTGCTGTATAACAGGAAGTCTGGTTGAAGATAGAGACAGAGGGCCAAACTTTACAGGGTTACATGCAGCTCATGTGCTTGCGGTGTCTTGGGCTCACAAAGTATGTCTAATTAATCTCCACTTCTAGCACTGATTACTGTTTTTAGGCACTGAGTTTGACACCACTTGGAGTTCATGAGCATATTCGGAAGATATTTGGTGCAAAATTGAACCAGGACCCAATTATCAATGCTCTACTTATGCTGTCTCACCATCATGCTTGCTTTGATGATTATCAATTTGGCTTTTGGCCAGAGCCAGTAGCAGAAGGCACAAAAGAATTTGTCTACCGGGGATATCGCTTTGAGAAAGGTGGAGCACCATTGCTCCATTCCCGCTTCTTTTTGCAACTTTCTCCTACCATGAAAGGCCTTCAGGGGTCAGAGCTGATTGTCTTCAATGAAGTACTGAAGATTCACTTCCGGACCTGCCTACGCTGGCATGTCAAGGGATTTGGGAGACCAAAGGTGGTACGGAAGTATAAGAAGAAACCAGAGTTTGAAGGATAAAGCAGATAATCAGATATTAAACCCAGGCAATTGATGCTATAGAGGGTTAATACTCAATGACATTGTATGCAATATATAGAGAGCCGTACCTGTAAATATTTGAAAAATGTCCCCGGATATAACCAGGCAGTGGTTGGGTCCAGCACAAATGCCTATGCTGTCCGACCCTCGGCCTTCGTCGTCATCACTACTGATCCATCACGATCACATGCGTTGATCATCGGAGGAGCCGTTGCTCACCTGCCATACTTCCCACCCATCACACATCTGCCAAGCTGTCAGGGGAACCTCCCTTTCGGCCCCTCGGAGACGCCTCCGATTCCGGTCCGACTCCGGTTCCGACTCCGGTCCGGCCCTCCATCTCGCCCGCACAATCACCGATCCGTCAACGCCCTCCCGACGGTCGCCCTGGGACCTCGCCTGCGACGCCGCCCAAAGCCTTCTGTGCCCGACAGCGGCAGCTACGGACAAGCAGTATATAGTCAGCTACCTAGCAGGCGGACCCTTAGAGTTTCTTCTCTTTGGATCCTCCCCTGCTAGGTCAGCTTCCTTTGTATTTGCTTACTGTTATTCACTCTTTGGATCCTCCCCTGCTAGGACCTTGATCTCAGGCCTCCGGGGTTGCCCTTACAGCAGAAGAAACTCTCTACGGGATCAACCGGACAAGATTGCCAGGTTCGGCGCTGACTCAGGCTCGGAGTACGAGTCCGTTCCGCCCTCGTCACCGCCCCTGCCACTTGTCCCCTCCTCCTCTACTCCTGTGGTCCCCGCACCCGTCATGCCGTCCGGAGTCACTCCTACCGCAGACGCCCGGCTGGACTCACTCGAGGCGAAAATCGATAGCCTAACTGAGGCCCTTGCTTTACTCACCAACCAGGCTTCCGCTGCCGCTGCCGCCGCTAATAATGCTGGCGGACCCCAAACACCATCGCCGGAGACGTCGATTCCGACTCCGACTCCGGTCCAGGGCGACTCGAAGCCCTTTTTGGCGACATCAACCTCGCCTCAAAATTGGTCTTGCGACCAAACCCCCCCGTTCACCTTCAACGGCGACCGGAAACGCGGCCGCGCGTTCCTCTACGCGGTCCGCACCTCGCCCGCCTTGCCCCTGAGGCCTTCGTGGTCAACGGAGAGGCGAGCGAGGAAAAGGCTGTCCGGCTATGCCATGTCGTTTATGGCAGAAGGACCC